TTTATCTAATTAAACATCTTGTTTGGTACATGTAAACTTCGTTATCACAAGTTTATCTCGAAAAGTAATAGTCAAAAAGGCTGAAAAAAAACCCATTCTTCTCAGAATAGAAATAGTGGCTTTTATTCATTCTAATTATCTAAAATGGTCGACGAAAACGATCAATTTAGAAGATTTTCTTAATACAAATAGTCTATATCCGCAGTTATGACCGCGTCGTTTTCATTCATCGTTTTTTTAATCTTATTGYTGGTTTGTCAGTTGTTGTTGTTATTTTGCAAGTTGTTTAATATTTAATCTACTGACTCAGCTCAATCTTGTTAGGAGAAAATGAAAATACGACGATGTAGATTGGAATTAACTATAAACTCTAGGCCAGCGCCAAATTCATACGCCAGTCTTAGTTCTGTACACAACCATATTATTTGAACTGGCACTTGCTAKACTCATGGTGTAAAACTTGCCCAATCCTCTATCGTTTTAATCGTTTCCTATGAAYGTGATCGCGGTTACCTTCACCATCACACCTTTATTAATTTCTCGACATTTTAACACCTAATAGGTACATTAGATTTTGTAGCTCCTTAACGAATAACAATTTACAGCAGCTGCACTCAGTATTTTGCATAAATTTCACGTGTGTTGGGATATCCTTTGAAAACGTGCAGTGTTGCCCAATTCCTGACTTCACCTTTTGCCGTACCAAGAGATTTAAAAGAAAAAGTCTAGAAACACGCATTTGTATGTTCGCGAAACTTATTTTGTACTATCCCAGCTATCCAGTATATAGTATAAGGGCTTAGATGCATTTCGGACTGCCTTCCACTGATAAAAGCACTCGAAAAGTAAACGAAAAGGGTTTACATTAAAAGATCATCCACCCAAAGAAGTTTCGATCGATTCCATAATCTTGTTATCTCTCTATCTGTAGCCACAGTTATGAGTCAAACATCAAATAACCAATTTGGCATTTAAAGATGACGGATCCACCTTAAACCACTAATCCATTCCCTCCCGGGGGGAGGGAGGGGGAGTGGAGGGGGGAGGGTGAGGGGAGGGTGAGGGAAGGGGAGGGAATTCGGTGTAAAAGTACCGGGGATGCTCGTCGGATCTCTTAGGGGTAAAAATTCGTGATTTGGAATATATCTTTTAGGGTGCCAATTTGGAGTTTCTCGAAATTTGCATATTCTRCTGGCATTCCCTATATATTGTTCATCATGTGTTTCCTTGCTCTTTCATTTATTTACTCAGTTTCCTTTATACATTTAGGTATTCTAATTATTTTCACTCCTAACTTCATATGGGACAAAGGTTGGTTTAATGTTCCTAGCAACATCTTCGGCGAGTTCTACTGTCGAGTCATTTACAACAGACTTCTCCTTTTCCTCTTCGGGAAAGCTTCCATTTTGACAGCAACATTCCTGGCCGTGGAGCGCTGGTACTCAGTCATTAAACCAATCAAATACCGTATTGCCTTTACTCATCGTAGACTACGAGTGTCCATCTCATGCATTTGGTTAGCAAGTACCTTGCTGCAAATGACAAAAGGGTTCACCATAGCTCCATATAAGGGCTCTTGCGTAGCAACGTCTGCTGATACGAAATCCTCACAAACGCTTTCCATTATTTACGTCTGGGTGACGTTTCTCATTCCAAGTTTCATTATATGGTGCACGTTTCTACACATATGGACAAAATTACGCAAGAAAAACRCCATGCCTTCCGGCGAGCTACGAAAAATGGCAACGCAAAGGCTGATGGGAGTTTGYGGCGTGGCAGCCTGTATAATGACACTTTGTTGGCTTCCTATTCAAATAACGTACGTTCTTAGCWCGTTCGGGGTCAYTGCGCTTGACAGCAAACTTCATACGGGAAACCAAATGTTAGCTATGGCAAACAGTTGTATCAACCCTTGGATATTCTGTTTTGCAAACAAGGAGTACAGAGACGCCGTCCTTGGATTTCTGGGGTCKTTACGTCGATGTCAGTTACCTAATAAGGCGGCATTCAGTCATGAGGTTTCTCATGATCACGTGACTGCGAAAAAAGGCGTTCCTTTACAGCTCCTACATGTTTGTGATAATAATAGTGTAAACACCACGATGGGATTTGATAACTGTGTCGAAAAGGAGGAGTTTGATACAAAGTTCTAGTACCTGAATATATATCACAATATAAAAATACATGGTTATCATATCGAGCGCGCTTTTTAACTATAATGCACCTAGTACTTTTTCGAACGCACCCGTTTAAATAAACATTTTACATCGTCGGTTTTTGTAAAAAAAGTACGAATTATTTATGGGTGCTCATGATGATTGAGCATCTGAAAATAACATCTTAGTTTTTCTAAAGTTAGCCATGTTCAATATATTCCAATTCTAGACAGTATTAAATACTTGGGGTGACAAGTGTCAGCTAAAGGACAGCAAAAATAAGTCATCAAGCACTTTTCCTAGCTTCAAAACTAATATATTTTGTGTAGTTTACAAGTACAGACGGTGGAATCATTTTATTAGGCATAAGGGTGCCCCCCATCATTACATCTGCTTACTCATCTATCGAGTACAAGCTTTTAAGGCATTGCATTTACATGTATGCGGACTCTCTGCATTTACTTGGGATAAAATAGGATCTTGTGATATTCCTATGATCTTGGCTGAAGGCTAGAAGATTCGAATCTTCCCAAACGCGTTTTTGATTGAACTAGTTTTTACGATGGTCGATCGTATGAAACTGCCCTAACTTTGTTCAATTCACGACGTGCGCATTGGTTGCGCGTTGCGGATTTTTCAGTCACGCGAAGTGATGTGTAACAGTTCAGTTATACGACTTCAGGTCTTATAATCTTATACGTGACGTAAGTTTAATAGAAAT